ACCAGTCCTCAGTGTTGTCAGGACAGCTAACAGCACATGAGCACACATACCAGTGACCTGGCCACATTCAGTTGTAGCTGCCAGGAACGAACAGAGCACAGGACTATGGATGGCTACTCTGCCCCTGACTCCCCACCAGCAGGGAAAGTCAGATCAAGGGTCTCTCAGGGGCTTCTCCAGACTGAGAAGAGACGGAATACAACCTTTTAAGTGATGGCAACTAAAACTAGCCAGTGGACTCACAGTGTGATCTAAAGACGCCAAAAGCGAACAAAAATAGCATGAAAAGCAGGGCTCAGAGGTAGAATGGGTGCTTAGAACACACAAAGCCTTACATTCAAGCCCAGAATACAAAATATAAAAATACTGTCAACTGTCTTTCTGTGAAATGACAGTGCCAGCACATGACAGTATGTGCCTCCAGTCTACTGTCCCCAGCCTGCTGCTGACCCTGGGGAAAGCGCCGTGGCTTGGATTTTCACCTTTGAAGATACTCAAGCCAAACACAGACTGACTTGTGCCTCCCTGCCAGCCCCTTGCCCCCTCGCAAGTTCAAGCCCACACACCTCTTCTGCAGCAAGCGGAGCTCTGTGGAGGGTCCCACGGGGCTCATCTTTGATTCTCTCTGTATCACTGTCTGCAAGTACCGTGACTGTTCTTATTTCCAGCTATGCACAATGCATGAATGGATTTCCGTTTACTTCTGGAATGTGTCACCAAAACAGTCAGCAGAGAAATGGCAGGTCCAAAACTGATTTTTGAAGTGGAACAATCTAAGTTCCTGGAGGGCAGCCTGAGGGCATGGGGTTCAGGGTGCTCACAGTGAGACCCATTGGAGTACCTCCTTCAGCATCTCATGGGGAGAAGCTGTGATGTAGGCACAAGGTCCTGGACCAGCTATGTAAGTTCTAACTGTTTCCACCTACAGGCGGGAAAGGCAACCCAGGTGTCATGGTTATCCAAAGCAGAGTACAAGATCAATGGCATGAAATCAGGCACCACGCTCCCTGTTTGGCGGTAACATCAAACTTCTCGCTGGCGTCCAGGTGAAGACGATGAGATGGGTAACTGGGGCAGACCTGGGGAGCTGAGCACACGTCTGGGATGTGGGAGACAGGTGCCGTCTCCGTGTCCAACCCTTCCTGTCCCAGCTGTAGCTTTCAAGTCTAGAAAGAGACCATGTCCTGAACACAAAGTTCATCACTGGTGATGACACTGAATATAGAAAGGACAGAAACACCACGCACAGGTTCACATTACAAACTGTGCTGCTAAATGCCAGGTTCCAGGCTGGCAGCCTCAGCCAGCACCTCCCACTCCATAGTCCCCTGAGGTGGCCCCACTGAAGCACAGGGCAAGCCCTGTGACAGAATTCTGGGCTTGCGCTGTGGGTCACACACCAACCTCTAGACTCTCAATGTCCCTGTGGCTGCCAGGCCAATCAGTCTCCATCCCTCTCACACCTGCTCCATTACATGTGGTCCCAGCAGCCCTCCAGCAGCCCTGCCTCCATGCTCTCCCTTGTTCTATCTTCCTCGGCACATCAGCTAGTGCTCAACTCAGATCAAATCAGTTCCCTGGCTCAAAGCCCTCAGTGATAATGGAGGCCATGACTGACCACCATCTGCCTGCCTCTCCAAGTCCCTAACCACACTCTCCTCGGCAGCCAGAGTGATGTCTTTATTATTTGGTGATCTTGTTTACTAATGCATTTCTCCTAACCAGAATATGAAACTCATTCCATTGTCCCCTGCCAGATAAGTTGCAAGGATGTTGTTGTTCATCATTCCATTGTCCCTGCACCTTCGCAGTGCCTGGCAGCCAATATGTGACCACGTAAATGAAATAGACCCAAAATGAAGTCACCAAAGATTCAAGCTCACCTGGCCACCGTGAAATAGAATCTGTGGCCGCAGAGGTAATCAGGCCAGCTTGGGTGTCACAGATCTGCAATGGGTGCTACCAAAGAGAGGATCAAAATACTCCAAGAGCCTCAAGTGGTTCACAGGAAAATTTTGCATGTCTCTGCTTTAAAAACGAAGACTTTATGTGTGAGATGTAAACAACGTGAGAGGTCTCGCTCACAATCTGAACAGTAGGTAATACACACCACAGAGGACTTAACCACAAGACAAAGCCCCGTGAGGAAAGAGCAAAACAGTAAGAAGGGGACACCTTGGTAACCCAAATGTAATGTCCACAGGAAGCAGCTACCTCCCCTGCCCAGGGCTGGAGGACAGCACAAGAGGTGGCTATTTCAGCCCTAAGTTGTAAACTACCAACCTACTGCTAGTTGGTGTCTGGAGACAGACCTGGTTCAGTGAAGAAATGATACAGGACAGAAGCCAGACAGATCCTGATATCAGCACTACATCTGCTCAGCCAAACAGAAGGCCAGGAAGGTGAGGTAGTGAGCACTGTGATTTCATTATCCCTGCCTGGGTGACAACAGGACACATAAAAAGCCCATGGACATCCACCAAGTATAACAAGGCAGAGAGAAAAAAAGTCTAATTCTCCCCATCTAAAATCTCTCTCATGGCAATTCTGTAGGAATCAAGGCAGAGGGGTCAGCGCCTCCTCAACTCCATGAAGATTCAGAAATGCAAAGTGGAACCATGGCTGGCCCGCTGTGTGACACTGTGTGTCAGGAGCTCAGCCTGCCCGGAGCAGTTCAGGGACCCATTTCCTTGGGAAATTTTACTAATAAACCGAGAGCACAAACCTAACCCAGGCCAGAAATTTAATAAATACAGACTTGGGAATCTGACTGACTGGAATTAAACTGCCAGCATTCCACACAACTGCATACCTTTTCTGTTTGAAGTGTGAAAATCCAGACAATTTTTTAATGCAAATAACAAATGTTGGTGCTACAATGAGGTATTTTACTTGATGCATGACTTCTCTAGGCCTGAAGGGATCGAAGAAAGAAAAGGGTCTTCCTGGCTTTGTGAAACAAAACTCGGGTGGTACTAGGGAAGAGCCAGCAGAGAAAGGAGATTCACGGTCACCCCTCTATTGCTCCCGGGATCCACCTTCATTCTGTCTAGGGGATACTAGCTGGGCCTTTGTAAAAGGTTTCCATCAGATAAGGATGGCCACCAGTGGTGGACAGTTCTAAAAATTAGATAGTGTGCTATCAGAAACTCCTGTCCCTCCAGCCACTGGGCCTCACCTCAGCTGCCCCTGCCACCACCAAATCTAACCCCCACCTCTGCATTCTCCTATCGTTTAGATACCCGAAAGCAGCTGTCAGAGCCCTAGTTTTACTCTTTTGTAGAATGTGTGGGCACACTGTAGCACCTGTGACATGATTGGAGTTTGTATGAATACAAAAGAGGCCAGGTGAACAAGGCAAGATGATTTCCTCCCGTCTGCCCCAGGGGAGGCCTTTTTTACCTGTGACTCCACACTGAAGCCACACCCCCTTGCCACACTCTCTACGCCAGCAACCCTGGCCAGACGAGGCTGGAGCTGAGAGTAAACAGTAGCATTTACAGACTTACTGTCATCAGACACTACCAGGCATTTCAGTCCTCACAAAAACCCACAGGCAATAGGTACTGTCATAGATGCAGACCCGGTTCCAGTTTGCCTGGGGTAAACAGCTGAGCTCTGAGACGGGCTCAGAGGAACAGCCTGGAAGTTCAACTTGTTCATGGCTTGCCTTGTCCCAAAAGAAGCCACTGAGTAAACCACCCACCCTTCGTTATGCTTTCTTGATCAGACATTCATTTGTGAAAATAAAAATGCAACAAATAGCACATTTAAAACAATAAAAACAGGTCCAATCTTGAAATAGTGCTCAACCCCTTGGGAGGGTCTGGGATGGCGATCTAAGCAGGCTTGTCAGCCGGGGCCTCCACACTGGCTGGCTTTGGGAATCTGTCCAAACGATGTATCTGCCAGGGGATGTGTCATGAGAATGGAGCTAATTATCCACATAATCCACACGCGGGTGGGGCCTATCACCGGGGGAACGGGGGTTATCTCAGACCTTAGCCAGACGGGCAACCAAGAAGGTATGTACCGGCTAACCTTGAGTACCTTCGCCCCAAGCTGCTCCTGGATTGCTGACTGGAGAGGACTGAAAAAGGAAGGCTTGGGTCCATGGGTCCCCAGGAGGCCACACACTGGCGAGAAGTCTATTCAGACCTCTCTCTATATGTGCCTCCTGTCCCTAACTAAATGTCCCACACCTCATTCCTTCCCGTCTCAATCAAGGCCTCTCCCGGGTTTCCTCCACTCTTAGTTCCTTTGCTTGCAGTAGGAAAGGGGAAGCCACTGCTGTTTCAGAAAACAAGAGTCACAGCCAACCAGGACTGTCACAAGGCCAGGGAGGAGGCGGCCATAGCTAATCGAATCCGAATGCGGACCCAACTCAGGGGTGGGGACCCTGGGCTGGCCCGACAGATGCAGGCGGGGCGGTCCCCTCCTAGGAGAGGTGGGAAAAATTGCTGCGTGGCACTTCACGCTCAGGCTCAACTGTCCTGGGGCAGCATAGAGACGGGGCCTCTCCCAAGCAGGACCGTAGCAGCGATCAGACCCTACGCGGTTCCCCAGTTCCGACACTCTACAACTGTCTCTACAGCAAACCCACTCGAGCCGCCACTGGTTCTCATAGCCGGGTAGGCGGCTGGAACCCAGTAGCTGTCAGCCCCGGGTGTCGCCTCGCAAAGTTCTGCCTTCTTCAGAAGCGACTCATTCTTTGGGACAGTCAGGCGAGAGTCCTGCTGACCTCGTCCCCTTTCCCACCCATTTGTCTTCCAGGAGTGTGTGCCCCAGGCTCCATGCAGGCTACCAATCCTTCCTAGAACCTGGGGTCTAGATGTCAGGTGCCGAGCAGTAGAGGGAAGAAACAATCTCAGTTTAAGTAACTCTTCCCGCTGACTTCATTGCACTTTGACACGATCTCGTCGCTCTGTTCCTCCCCAAGCGCCACTCCCACAGCCCGCAGCCCCCGGCGCCCCGTAGCCCCTAGTCCTGCAGTCCCGCACCTTGCCGCAGCGGCGCGCGCGCCAGCTCGGGCCGGTCCTCGGGGAAGGCGTCGCGGAGGCGCTTGCACAGGCGACCCAGGTCTGCGAAGCTGCGGTGCAGGTAGAGCACGCTGCGGTCGGACCACTCGGTGCGGATCTCGAAGAATTCCTCCTCGTCGCCGCGCCGGCTGACGATGAGCCTGCGGATCCCGTTCACCCAGCAGCCGCGCACAAACATGTTCACGAGCGACGTGCCCTCAAACACCGCCGAGGCCATGCCGCGGGCCGCGCATGCCCCTGCCTCCGGGGGCGCCCTCGGCCCCCAGCCGGGGTCCGCCTGGGCAGAGTGGTTCCGGGAAGGAGCGATCAAGGATCCTTCTTACAACGCGGCCGAACCCCACAACGGCGATTGAGAGTCTCGGTGCCCCGCGGATGTGCCCGGATTCCCTGCACACTCTGTAGCGGCTGCTAGCGCCCGGCGCTCGGGGCGGCGCCGCCAGGAGTCTGTCCCGCCGCGCAAGCCGCGGCTTTATAAGGCACTTCCCATCCCGGGCGGCGAGGGCGTCTACGTCGAGTCCCCGCTGCGGCTCCTCCCTCCCGTCTCCAGCTGACCAGCCGCGGGCTGTCCTGGCCGAGCGCTCCACCCGCGGCGCTGCCTCCCCAGTCTGCCGGCTGTTGAGCGAAGTGGCCCTGCGCTCTCCCAGCGAGCAAGGAGACTTTCTACTCTTCCCTACTGTCACTATGGATCCTCCGGATTCTCCAGCCGGGAGTTGAGCACTATGCCCAGCTCGCGCGGGGGTGGGATCAGCAAGTTACTGGAGTCCCCGGGCGCCTCCGCACGGGGCCGGGACGCTGGCACACACAGCGCGGGAATCGGGGCAGTGAGCTTGGTGTTTGTACCCGCGCCGCCCTCGACCCTCTCGGCCTGTGCGTGGCCTGGGCCGGGACTCAGGCAGGCCCGCCCCGTGTCCCCTTGGTTACCGGCGTCTCCGCCCGGAGTCCTTCCGCGCATTCCGGTCGTGCCTTATCCTAGCGGAGGACTGGGACACGGCGGGACAGACCGACCAGAAGGCAAGACCGTGTAGTTCTTAGAGGAGGAGCCCCCAGGAGGTCGACCAACCACTCCAAGGGTTGTCCTCCAAACGGGCATTGGGAAAGAATTACAGGGGACAGGATCTCCCGGGGCTGCCTGGGTGAGAGTGACTCGGGAAGCGTTTAGGAAATCCAGCTGGTAGGGCTGCCCACTGAGATCGCATGCACCGCGCGTTTCTTAGGCTGTTCCCAAGAGATAGTCTAGCATTAAGAATTTTAAGTGGTTTCAGACACACTCTTTTGCCCACAACAGGGGAGAGAAATTAAGTCTTTACATGGTTCTGGAAAGTCGCCTAAGCCCAACGTGGAGCAGAGGCATTGGAAGCCAGTAACAGGACGACCTTCTATGGACTTCATTTGATCCTGATGTCCGTTGCCCCCTTTCGCCGGCGGGGGCAGGGTATTTAGATCGCTGTTGTCACTGCAGAAACCTGCTGGGCAGAGTAATGCCTCTGTCCTTAATAGCTCCCTCTCATTTGCCAAAAAGTCCTTCTGAGGTGCTCCTATATTCGCCTCTACTCCTCCCTGGACCCAGGTCCCTTCTGAAGCTTCTACTCCCTCAGCATCATTCCCAGGACCTCCAGAAGGAAGTACCGCTCTTCAAGGCATCCCAACTTCAGGAGAGGGTTTGCTGGAAACAATCAGGTGTTTAGTTCCCGGCTGCCAAGTGGCCTAGCTTGGTGAGGCTGGCCTGCACTTTGAGCCTGGCATTTCTGAACCCTGAAAAAAAGTGTTTTCGTGTTAATAGTACTTCCTTAAAGAGGTTTGGAAATACGAAAACTAGATGGCAGAGCAAAAACAGTCACTATGGGAAAATCACTGGTTAGAACGCTGATCTTTTATGCCCTATAAGACATTAATCAATTAATCATTTCTGTCAGGGTTTCTCTGTGAAGGCCTGGCTGTCCTGGAACTTCACTTTAATACTTAGAAGACAAAGATTGTATGGGTCTGGAGTGGTGGCTCACATATGTAATTCAGGTATCCTAGGCAGATGCAGGAAGATCTTCTGACGCTAACCAGCAGGCTGGGTTACTTCATGAGCTCCCCTGACACGCACGCACGCACGCATCTCAGAAAAAGAATAAACACCAAGTCCCTTCATGCCAATTCTTTTTGAGATAAAGTCTCATTTTGGAGCCCAGGCTGACTCACACTACTGCTCCTTCTCCCTTAGTGTCTGGGAGATTAGAGATGCCACTCCCATGGTCTCTTCATCAACTTTTTCACATTTCAAATTTCCCACTGATTAATATGTAGAATACATTTTGGCATATATGTATTCCACAGAAACATTTGGGACCCCTACTTCTAACCTTTAAAAATCAGATAAGTTTGACAAGAAGAAATATTTTTGTTTCTAAGGGAAGCATGGACTTTTAGAGACTGCCACTGATGTTTCCATTAAAACCAGCCTTTTTGAAGGCAGGCTAAGCAGGACTTGCTAAAACTAAAAATATTTACAAATTACAGTCCAATAAATCCCTCCAGGGAGCATGATTTCCAATTCTAGGAAAAAGATGCCTCTGTGTGCTCACTAAGAGACTAAGCAACTGTGGTTGCACTGCTTGCTAAGGTGAGAAGTGATGGCATAGATGTTCATCCAAATGGGGGTGAATAAACCACTGGCATGTAAGTACAGGGGCCTCCTGTATGGCTGCACCAGTGAACCAGCTCCAACTCTGAATGCTACAATACCAACCTGCCTGGCAAGACATGCCCACTAGTGCAATAGTGGTTTCATGAGCATGGGAGCATGTGAGGTCTGCTCCATTGTAGGGATTTCATGCCTGATCTATAAACCTGGTCAAAAGCCCATTACTGGGGCGATCACAGGCCCTAGGAAAGATAATAATTGTGTTACTTAAGGGTCATGTTGTCAAACTGCTTTCCAAGTAATAGGTCTACACCTATAGATCCACATTGCTCTGAACTTTGGTTAGAAAAGTCTCCTTTTTCAGTTCATGAAGACACTCATGGCTGGTCTAGATGGTGAGTGTTCAGCTTTGGATGAGTCATCTACATCAATTTCCCCCACCTAAGACTCAGAACATCACAGAAAAGGGAGCAGGAAGAATATAGTGGAGGGTAGGGAGGAGCCATGGAATGCTATCTTCTGGGCATTACATGGCTGTTACACACATCAGCTCATAGGGGCTGTGGTTACTGGCACTAATGCAATGCTTGGAATAAAAGGTGCTTCCGATATGGAAGTCTTTCAAATTCTCAGATATGCACATAGACAGTACCAGGCTGAATGTCCCTAATTTGAAATCCAAAATGCATCAAATTCTGGAATGTTTTGAAAAGCATCTCAAATTCAGTTGAGAATTTAAAGCCAGAATTCAAAAAGCCTTCCACAGCTTTAAAGGACAAGGTATATGGTGGCAAGTGTGAACACCTTTTGAAGACCTGAATTACATAAATGCCAGTAACCGATACACAGGACATGGAGTGGTTTCGGGTTATAAGTCAAGCTGATTGGCTGATTCGGTGCTGGGAGCTGCATAATAGAATGTGAAAACAGAGAGCAAACAGGAGCTCTCTGGGTCACCTGCTCCACATTCAAGTCAGGTTTACAATTACCGAGTTGTGTCCAAGGCGGAACATTGCTCACAGGTAAGAGCTTGGTGAACCAGATACTCCAATCCGATGCACAGGAGTAAATGGCTGGCTTGTACACAAGTCTGCATGAAATCTCTCAGCAAACAGCCTGTGGTCCTGCAGTGTTGGTACCCCTCCCCTCACCTACTCTATCCTACCCCTCACTGGCAGGAGCACATGAGTGTTATCTTTGGGGCTCATGTTTCTTAGTTGGTGGAAGTGCCTACTTGACCCACTTTCCATGGGCTGCCCCAGCTTGTCGTGAGCAGGCAATCTAGTGGAAACTGTAGAGAAAACAAGGAAAGTCTAAGGGTCAAACTGGAAATGTTTATGGGTTAACACTGACTGGAGACAGTGATGTCATGCTGGTTTGTCATGTTGATACTGGGACTGCCTGTGTTTTGTGTGGTTAGGTAAATTCAGATATCCCCCTTCCTACTGGGATTTGGCATTTCCTTGCAGAGCTCAAGTTTCCAAGCCTGAATGTCATTCTTAACTGTTTCAAGCTAATATGATGCCTCATTAAACAGCAAAAATAGCATACAGCAAGTAATATGACTTTAAAATGTTTACCACATAAGTTGATAGAGGTATAGAGAGACATGGATATATAAACGTAATATAGATATGTTTTATTCCTCCAGAGAATGTAAGATAACTTGCTCACACTGATGTATAATAAAACATGCACAAATTAGGATTTGAGGCTTAGGAAGATGTAGAAATATAAGGAGCTGAAGAAAACTGGTACACAGAGAAGTAGTCCACAGAAGTTTATTCACGTGGTCATTGTGGACGTGCAGTGGCTTCCCGTGTCAGAAGTGAGTGTAAAACCTTAGCCTGGATTCCAGACTTGTGCACTGTCCGCACTCACCGCCCTGTCATTTTGCCATCTCTTCTTCTATCCCCTTTCCTGACACTTTCACACTCTAATGGTCCATTCTTCTATAGATACACCCAGATAAGTTCAGCAGTTACTCCAGGATGGTACTGTTTCCTGGGTCCTCAAATGCCTTCCTCCTTCATCACAGCTGAAATCTAGCACCTCTTCAGAATGTCACCCATGCTCTCTTGCCCATCACTTCTCTGTGTGGTGTGACCTTGTCTGTTTTCTGCTGTTGTAACAAAATATCTGACACTGGATACTTTATAAAGACCAAAAGGTTATTTCTTATAATTGAGGAGGTTGGAAATCCAACAATAGGGTTGGCAACTGGCAAGGGCTTTGGATCACTGGGAAATAATTTTTAATATAAATAGAGTATTAGATGATATTTTATAATTTGTGTCTACTTTCCTAAACATAATTTTTGTGCTTTGTAATAGAAGTGTCCTTTTGGCTCTGTATGCTGAAGAACTTATATTTTTAAAACCTGATTTTAGACTACTTTGCATTCACTACCCATATAATAATACATATATGAATATGTATAAGCATAATACATATGGACAGACAGGTAGCAATTTTATAAAGGAAATATTGCAAAATGTTAAAAAAAAACAACTGTCCAATATAAGAGAATCCATTCAGACTTTTGTAAGAATGCCCCCACTCTCTCAACTTTTCTGACTAAATGAAAATTCTCACAAGAAAAAGCTGGAGAGGAAAAATAACATACTTCTACTTATTACAATATCCTGATAATTCATTGCCTGAGTTGAATGAAAAAAAATCCAGATAACCTAAACATGGCATTATACACGTGCATTATACATCAAAAGGAAGAAGAAGGAAAGCTTACTAGCTTCGGAACCTATATTTCTCCGATATTCTCATGGGTCCTGGCTAATGTATCAGAGAGCCCTATTGCCCTCGCTGGCCCAAAGCCTCTGTGGGCACTGGTAGATAGGATGATCACCTCTATCCAGACACCCTGATGGGTCCCCTAAGAAGCCAGGTCTAAAACCAGTGCTAGAATCTGCATTTCTCCTACAGTCACTAGGAAAATAAATACAAAAGGCTCAGATTCTGCAAACTTGGGAGAGGCCTGAACTTTTATGGATCACATTAATATTATTCTCAAACTAGTGACTATTCACAGATTCAAGGGTCCAGGAAGAAGATCAGCATTATCTTGTAAGTAATACAAGCTCACAGAGTTAGGAACTTGCCATTTCACAGAGGACTCATGCAGCATGTGAGACAACCTTGGAGTGTTCACA